ATTCGCGACTTTATCCAGTCGTGCCAGAACCTCCGCGACATCAAGTTCAACAACAACGAGGCGCGGAAGCTGCCGCCGAGCCTGGGCAAGGCGAGCAAGCTCACCTATCTCGACGTGTCGAACAACCGCCTCGAGCACCTCGACCATGCTGAGCTTCACAACCTCACGGGCATCCTCAAGTTCAACCTCGCCAACAACCGCCTCAAGTACCTGCCGTCGTACTTTGGCGCCTACCAGTCGCTCCGCAATCTCAACATCTCCTCCAACTTTCTCGACACCTTTCCCCAGTTCTTGTGCACGCTCGACAGCCTGGTCGAGCTCGATCTCAGCTTCAACTCGATCGGCAGCCTGCCCGACGACATCGCCAACATGCGCAGTCTCGAGAAGTTCGTCATCACGAACAACAGACTGAACAACGCGCTGCCGCCGACCTTCAGCCGCCTGTTCATGCTGCGCGAGCTCGACATCAAGTACAACGCCATCACGAGCATTGCCGTCATTGCCGACCTGCCGCGTCTCGAGATCCTCTCGGCCGACCACAACTCCATCTCCAAGTTTACGGGCACGTTTGAGCGGATTCGGAGTCTGAAACTCAACTCGAACCCCATCGCCACCTTTGAGATTGTCGCGCCCGCGCTGACCCTGAAGATGCTCAACCTGTCCAACTGCCAGCTCGCGAGCATCGACGAGTCCTTCCACCACATGCTCAACCTCGAACGCCTCGTCCTCGACAGGAACTACTTTGTCTCCCTGCCGGCGCATATTGGAAACCTGAGCAAGCTGGAGATCTTCAGCATCGCCAACAACTCGGTCGGCGAGCTGCCGGCGACCATCGGGTGCCTGACCGAGCTGCGCATGCTCGACGTCCGCGGCAACAACATGAAGAAGCTGCCGATGGAGCTGTGGTGGGCCAACAAGCTCGAGACGCTAAATGCCTCGTCCAACGTCCTGGACAACTTTCCCAAGCCGGCGTCGCGCCAGCCGCGCCTTCGGCGCGAGGAGCAGCCGCAGGGCGCGCTCACGGCAGGCGCCGCGCCGCCGGGCATGCTCGGCCCAGCGTCGGGGTCCGACGACTCGGACTCG